TTATTTACATCAGAGACATCTTCAAAATGTTTTGTTTGGCCTTGACCTGACTTGACTGATCAGCTGCAAAAAGTTAGGGAGACATCCTACCCTTTTGTTCTCATCACTTCTCTCCATGAGTTATATTGTCCACACACACACCACACACACATGCACACACTTCATTACTGTCACACAAAAGACGGGTAAGAAATTCATATCTCTGACAAAGTAGTCCTGTTTACTCCTGCAGCTTTTATATTCCTCTTTCTTAAAACCTTTTAATACTAACAAAATGAGAAACATTATTCATATAGCATCCATGCATCCAATGCAACACAGCACGACATAGCATTTATGATTAAACTAAATAAGGAAATAAAATTGAAAATACATGAGCAGGTTAAGCTAAAATTGGAAACAGCCATTAGCTTAAACACTTCAGATGTAGTATTATGAGATCAAACTCACATCAGGAGAAGGGTATTGTAACAAGGTGTGTATTAAGGTTTCTTTTGAAACTAGCAGATCTAGAGCTGGGAGTTTTGGGGTGTAACTAATAAAGGCTTCCTCTCTGTGTCTTTTAGTTCTGATGTCAGAAACAATCAAAGGGTTTCAGTCAGATATCAGTGACAGAGTAACCATTCATTTGGTTTCACACTACACATCAGATGTTGAGCCTGGCTGCAGAGGTTTGCCCCCATGCAGACACAAAAGCACAAGTATGGTCCTGGTGTCCGTTCAGGCCATGTAAGTCAGGTTCAGTTATGGGTGATGGGGTTGAGGTTTCTGCAGGCCAGTCAGGTTTTACCTTCCCCCAAACTAGGATAACAATTTTTCAGCTCCTGGCTTTGTGCACAGGGGTGCACAACTCAAACCACAAACCTGGGAGAGCACGGGCGTTACTGCTTTGTTAAGATCTCCCATCTCCTGATCTGAGAAGCAGCCCGAAAATTAAATTAGACAAATGTATGTGACAAAAGGTGTCGACATACTCTTGGTTATGTAGAGTAGCTCCTCACCTTTAGTGTCAAACTCACACTGTCTGAGCCTTAAATGCCAACAATATAAGTAAAGTTTATTTGGATAGCACTTTTCACAGACAAGATTTACAGACAAATGCAAACGACAGACACACACACTCACGCACGCAGACACGCACGCACACACGCACGCACACACGCACGCACACACACGTGGGTAGGACGTTCCACTTTGGTGCTATTGCCTCAAAGGCCTGTCATGGTGGACTGCTTTACACTGGTGTGTGAGGCACATTATCGTGTGAGACGACAGTTATCAGTGAAGACAACGTTACCTTCAGCTGATGCCACATGGAGGGCCGTTCTCGAGTCGTAGTCCCTCTGCTCCATGTCCATAGCAGACAGTGCAAACCTACACACACAAACATACACACAAATATTATGTACTGAAGTAACACTCCAACAACCATTGACATCCTACACAAAAATACACCTTTAGTTTTGAGATATTAACAAAAACCACAGATTCAGTGTTCTGGCGAAACACTGCAGATTCTTCCTTCAAATAAAACTAACTTGTTTTGAAGGTTCCTCTTTCTACCACCTAAAGTCCCTAGAGAAAAACTCATGTCTAGCAAAGAGGGGACAGCAACCCTGGAATCATCTCTGGCCAACGTGAACAAGTCAATAAGCAGAGGTGAGTGTGTGAGCTGTTCACCTCCTCAGCGCAGACACGTCTCCAGTGTAGGCAGCAAACAGCAGGTTGATAACAGACTTGACCTGCGGACAGAGATGGAGACAGAAGTGGAACATTTGAAGGAGCAGACTCACACACTGTCTAGCAACAACAGCAGCAGCAGCAGCAGCAGCAGCAGCAGCTCTGACAAACAACACAACAGTCACTGTTTTATAAAGTAAATGAGTCACTTCCTAATGCAACTAATGCCCCTCATTTCAGTTTGATTTCTTCCCATATGTGAAAGTTAGATTTGATATATATTTAACTGTGTGACATCATTTACTCACACAAAGTTACATAATAATCAAATGAATTCTACATAGACAGGACTGAATATGAAGACGACAGGTCCCTGCTTCAGGTGAAACTTACCATCAAAAAGGAATCAATCATTTCTTGCAATAAGAGTTTGTGAAGTGTAACAAAGTTGGACGTTGGACATGCACTGATGGACATGTGTAACTAATCAGGACTTCTGGTTTGGTTTTCAAAGAGTTGGATGAGGATCCATGACGCCAAACCCACAAATCGTGGACACTCACAGGCGGAAACTGTTAAATATATTGACCTATAAACTGCACATACAAGCGTTCCGTTAAGATGCATCTAAGATAAACCACAGACGACCTCAGAAGGACACAAGGTCAAATTCAAACTATTGCTCATGGAGTATTTGACACAATCGTTTAGAGGTTAAATTGATGTATTTTATCATACATGGACTCCATTCCTGGATAATGTGACTCCAAGATTAGCCAATAGATCCTGGAAGGCACTTCCTCAACCAAGGACTGATGGTTGAATGCTGAGGGGAAGCATGTTCACTGTACTTTTATGAATCTATTTCATTCAAATAAAGTTCAGCTCTAACAAAGGAACATTTGAAATGTGAAAATAAAGAGGACAGATATACTCACCGACAGAAAACAGTATCTGAAAGACTGTATTTCACTTTCAGCAGTAACAGACAAGCATCATAAGTGTTATTACCAGAAAATGGTAACATATGTACAATGTAATTTCCCAAAGTCTAAGTTGACTTGTTTAAATTGTGTGCACAACCCACACATATTCCATTTGCTGTCATGGAGGTGGATTGTTGGAACTTAATGACTGGTTAATCCCTGATCTTCTATTGCTGTGCATTCACTGACTGATCCTTTTAGAGGATGTGAGCAATGAATCAGACTCAAGAGAAAAAGGCCAAAACAGTAAAAACATTAAATCTTTGTTTTTCAGTAGTGTCACTGGATTGAAAAATGACAACGCACACAGACAATATTTCAGCCCATGTGGCAAATACTACATTTGAAATATGAAAAATTCCCCAGATGCAACTCTGGAGCGCAGAGCTAAATGTAAAGGCCTCAGTGTTTATGGGGAAATTAGATAAACAGCCTGCAAGTGATGCTGTTTAAGAACGACCTCTCTCTGAAGGTCTGGTGTCTGCTGACCTCCACTGGTGAAACTTCTCACCTGGCTCCAGTGAAGCTGTTCACCTGAGAGGGCGGCCTGGTGTTTAGTTGCTCTTTAAAGAAATGACAGAAACAGGAAGGACAGAAGAACAAAGCTACCACAGAGTTTTATTTCACTAAATAAAGGCCTCTCTCTATAGTGAGAATCCCCAACAGACCTTCACTGCTGCGGAAATAAGAATCTGCCTCTAAAACGAGAGCTGGAAAACAATTCAACACAACACACACACGCTTCTGTTCAGTCTTCAGATTAGCTTCAAGGGCCAGTATTTGTGGATGTGGATCAGTGAGTTCAAGTCTGTCAACACTAGGGACTGGTGTGTCGAGTTTAAACTCCTGGGCAGTCACACGCTGTTTAAAAGCTTCCTCCTTTATTCACTCTTCACCACAGTAGTAGTAGTTATCTTTACTAACCAGGCTCAGTGACATGTAGTGGGAAACCTCCCACTGTCTGTGGCTCTGTTGTATCTGTGACTGCAAATACTTTCTCTGTTCAGGGGAAACAGAGTATGCGAGTATATACGACAACTCGGAGTAACATAAATATATTTGAATCTAAATGTTAAACATTAAAGAAGTACTGTGTGTTACATGAATGTGTCCTGCACATCTTTAAGACACATGTTGTAAAACCACCTGAGACGTGTTGAAACTGTAAAGACGCTGTAGAACGGGCTCTGTGTTGCTGACGGCTGTGGATGCTCAGGTTGTAAAACACGAGGAACGCTGTAAAATCTCAAACTTGAATGATTTCTAATAATATATATGTGAATTATATATTTATAAGTGTGGATAAGAGTGCACAGCAGATACAGCCAGGTAAATTTTAGAACTGCCTCCACCAGCAGTGGTTTTCAAATACACGAACATTTGTATGGGCACATAATATAGTATAATAAATATATTATTTTATGTAGATACACATTATAATAATCTATACGAGGCTCAGAGGAACAGAGGGTTGTCCACTAACCAGAAGGTCTGTGGTTTGATCCCCAGCTCCTCTAGTCCTGTCCTGAAAGTCCAGTTAAGGATGTATGATAGAAAAAGCACTGTGTAAATATGTGTGAATAGGTAAATGTGGCTTGAAACGTTCCAGCGACTAGAAGAGGTAACTTGTAACTAGATGGCAGTAAGACAAATGCTCTAATTTGGTATAACTCTGATTGTTTTGAATTCTTGAGAAGTCAAAATCAAATGATTGTGAAAGAGGAATAATCTGAACACAAGATAATTAATCGGCATACTTTTTCTGAAAAGCCTCAAAATTCAGAAACGAAATGCAGCAGAGCAAGTTGCTTTGAAGTTCTGAGTTTTGAGTCTTTCTTTTTTTTACAGTGAAAGAGCAACGTGGCACTTGTTACTGATACATGTTCATCAGGTTTGCTTCTGTGGTGACATTCATCAAACACAACAACGAAGCTGTGCGGAGCTGATGAGCAGCATTCAGTTTAAACCTTCTCCTACTGCTGCAAAAAACATAATCCAACGTGAACTCTGAGGTTTGACTGTTGGATTTCTGGGGTTTTCACTTTGTGTGTTTATGTGGTGTTGGAATATTTAGAAAAATGTGTTCCAGACTTTCAAAATAGTACATCGCTCCACTACTTTAACATCAAGTTGACAAAGATATATCCCAGTGTTGCCCCGGACTGTCCTGGAAGTCAATATTCTCTTGTTTCTCTTGGGCACATGTTCCACTCATGTCAGTCTCTATCCAGCTTTTGGACCTCTGTCTTGTAGTCACTCTCAACAACTGGGGGGGGGATACTGGCCCCTTATCCCAACTGCAATCTTTGGAGTGGTCGAGGGCGGGGAAGACCTGTTTTATCTCCATAAGAACGCATTTACATTTGTGACAATGCTGCCTCGCCTTCTCATATTGTTTAGTGGGAAGGGAAAGAACCTTCCTACCCATATTCAGTGGATCCAGGAGGTGATGCTTGTATTCAGTTTGGAGGAAGTAAGGTAAAGTAGGTGGATGAGAAGAGACGTTCAAGCCTGTTGGTGATGAGCGGTTGATATGACAATGATTGTAACTCTGACACCGTTAAGGATTGTGAGTGTATGATTATGAATTCACTATCTATCAGAATGAAACAAGGCTATATTAATAACATGAATGTAAATGCTCCTGATACTAACGCCATCTGAAGTCGGGAACGAGTTGCTGAGGTCATCACCCTTATACCAATAAACATGCTTTTACAATCAGCTCTAAATAGTAACTTTTAATATAATCTTTGTTAAATTATAAACTTTTGTAATTTTCCAACTGTACTTCCATCTGCACGTTTTCAATCATTTATATTCCTGCTCCATCTGATCCTTTTACTTTGCTCTTTGCTATAATGCAAATAAGTGTCACGGTGTTGCTTTAATGCTCTTAACACATAAACACATTTTTCTTACAGCGTCCATGTTTTTTTCCACTATTCTGACTTCATTCCCTGTGTACCAGTCAGGACTCGGCCACATTTGAACCAGAATGCGATGTCTGTGAGATAATTGGTTACTGTCGATATAATCTGATCTGCTTTGCACAGAGGAGTCAGATTAGAAGATTAATCCCACTCTCATGTGAATGTTTAATATGAACCAAATCCATCAGCTGGTTAGCTTAGCTCAATTTGGCTCAAACACTTATCAACAATTGTTGTTCAGCCCACTGTATAACAGAGAACCATTTTTAAAATATGATTTGTGCATTGGATTCAAGTGAGTTATAAAGTGAGTTCCAAAAATGTTGAACTATTACTTCTTACTCATAAGTATATTATGATCCATAGAGAGTATGTATACAGGTGTTTGAAGTATAATTAGAATGTGGAACTTCTGTTACACAAGGATCCTGTCTGTATTGACAGCTGCTGAATTCATACCACTAACTAGGAGAGGGACATCAAATGAGACTCGTTGTTCAAGAACAGTTGTGGGCACGGCGCAGGAGATGTTAGATACCACTGCTTTATTGGACTTTACACAAAGGTCACCAAGGCAACACATCACTGTCGTGTCTGCCTGTTCATCACAACCAGAAAGAAAAATAAGGAATTTGCTCAGAATAGTCATTGAAGACAAGTTCTTATGTTTATAACGTCTTTACCTCCAGGCAGACAAGAGAGTTCATGAGTTGATGAAGACTTTACTTAAAGAATTACATGGATGTGGACACAAAAGAAATCAGAAGTGTGACAATCATCAGTCATGAGCTTGGAACTGTAATGTTTCATCTACTGTAGGTATGGGAACTCTTCAATATTTAACTTTTAATGGTTGCAATGTTAGACATCTTTTGAATCTGTATTTTCTCAATCTCAACAATGGCAAAAGAAATAATCTGGTTTAAAAACCTAATTTGAGAAACGATCTCATATTTGAACATGACATTAGAGAACCTTACAATTCCAAGGTCACCATATTGCAACGGTAGTGATGGTTTTTAAATGTAAATGCAATTCAATGTCAAATAAAATGTATGTCCATGACACAAATCAACATAGATAAAAGACAGAAATCAAAGCAATTTAAAACTGATTACATGGGATCAAAAAGACATTTATCAA